GGAACGCAGCTAATAAATGGCGGCGCTGGCGTGTCAAGCAGTGGTTGTCTCTCTCCTGAAGTTGGGACGCGTTCCGAAATCTACAAAAAATCGATGCACAAACCTTTTAGACTACGAGTGTATCAGTCCCGTGAGTGCGCAGTAGCTAATTAAAAGTGACCAGAAATGGGAAAAAAGCCAATGACTGCCCTCAGTATTTCCTGGTTAATTTCTGATTAGTTCTATCCCCACTTCCATGATGCGCAATGGTACATCTTATATATTTACATCATGGTTAAAAGGGCCAAAGCCATAGGCCGATATTCATAGTCGGATCTTATATTTAAGACCGCTTAAGTTTATCTTCAGATGATGTACGGGTTATTTCATTGGCTACGGAGTATCTGAAGATGAACTTAAGCAATCTTAAATATAAGATCTGACTATGAATACCGGCCATAGGCCCGCAACCATAAACGATTTTTGGCGATTCTTTGGTGGGAGCGTTCTGATTGACCACAGTACGATTGGACACAACCAACCGATGAAAAGAATTATCTAATGAATTACTAGGTCGAACCAATCATTACAATCTGTGTCCAATCGTATCGTAGTCAATCGGGTCTCACCCCTCTCGAGCGTGGTATAGCGTGGTATGAACCAAAGAGATACCAAAACGGTTAGCCACGTCTCTATCACAAGCTACCAAACACGCGAAAACATCCTGGTACACTTTTGGTCTGTTCTTTTCAGCTGCACTGCTGAACTAGTGCAACAAGTGAGAAAACATATACTTGTCTCACTTTAACTTATTGCACCGGTTCAGCAGTGCAGCTGAAAAGAACAGACCATTTGGTACACTTTGGTACATATACCAGACAATCACCAAAAATCGCCTAGGGTGCGTTCAGATTCCCTACCCGAGTGCACTTTAGTACTAGAAGTGCTATAGTATATGTAACATATACTATAGTATTCTAGTAATAGAATGTATCCGGATGAGGAATCTGAATGCAGCCCTAAAGAGAGAGAAGTAGTATCAATGCACGCATTGTATGAACACGTGTTATAATCAGCTGTGACCACTAATCACATAAATATAATAAATTCTTTTAATTTTCACTGGTAAGTAAAAATAGAGCATACTCCAATTAACAATATATAAATTGTATTATATTTAATTAGAAGATTCGCTTGGGAGGGGAACTATTTAACCTACAATATTCTCTTAAACGTTTTTTGAGGTTAGCATCTCGTTTTAATATTTCATACCGCGGGCAAACGAAAAGTAATCCGAAAATCGATTCGGCACGAAATAGTGTTAGTTTAATACCAATATTTTCAAGCATTTTATACAAAAGTTACGACATTTTTTATTTAAAATAGCTATCTACTGTGTATAAATGTCTGAAGAAATGGAAGTTGAACTTATGGAGGATATAAACGAAGATGAAATTAGCGATGATGACAAGTCCAAGGAAAATGAGAACGATAACGAAGATCAAGAGAAAATCGTATCAAAGGTGTATCTTCCAGGAGAGATTTTGGAAGAAGGAGAAGAGCTTATTGCTGATAAATCAGCATACAGGTTATTGCATCAAGCACAATCAGGTGCACCCTGTCTGAGTTTTGATGTATTGCCTGATGATTTGGGTAATTCAAGGGAGGATTATCCCTTAACTATGTATATAGTTGCTGGCACACAAGCTGCACAAGCTCACGTTAATAATGTTCTTGTTATGAAAATGTCTAATTTATATGGTAATAAGCAACATTCAGAAGATTCAGAGAGTGAATCAAGTGATTCAGAAGATGAGGAATATAGTCCAACAATGAGTGTTGTATCTATAAGACATCAAGGATGCATTAATAGAATAAGGTAAATATCTTTAATTACATTAAATGACTAAATCTTAAGATTTAAGTTTGTGAGATGCAGGAAATCACATGCTTAGAGAATAAATATAGAATCTGGTGATTACATATATACATACTTATACATATATACAATCTTATAAGAATATTTTTAGCTTAATTTATTTTATAAGATTGTTATTTTTGTAGATGTACAAAAGTTCATGAAGTACCTCTAGCCGCCAGTTGGAGCGAATTGGGTCGTGTAAATGTATGGGATTTACGAGAGCAGTTAACTGCCATTGAGCATCCTAGCTCGCTTGCTGCATATCGTAAGAAGTGTGACAAAGAAAAAGGTGGAGGCGTCAAACCGCTCTTCATATTCAAAGGTCATCTATCTGAAGGATTTGCCTTAGACTGGTGCCCAATGAAACCAGGCGACTTAGCGTCCGGCGATTGTAAAGGCAATATTCATATATGGCGAATCGGTACTGACAGTCCAACGTGGCAAATAGACCAAAGACCATTCAATTCGCATGCGCCACACAGCGTGGAGGATTTGCAGTGGTCGCCATGCGAAAGGGATGTACTCGCATCGTGTTCGGTGGATAAAACGTTCGTATTTTCATAACTTGTTCCCGTATCCTTTTTATTACAGTTTGACGAATCTTTTAAAGAATTTCTTTCATGACAGCATCAAAATTTGGGATATACGAGCGAGTCCACACAAGGCGTGCATGCTGACGGCGTCCGGTGCTCATCAGGCAGACATCAATGTAATCTCATGGAGTCGGATAGAGAGCCAGTTCATAGTGTCGGGAGGAGACGACGGGTTGCTCTGTATATGGGATCTGCGGCTTCTCGGTTCTTCCAATAAAGCAGACCCGATAGCTACCTTCAAGCATCATACTGCGCCCATCACTACTGTCGAGTGGCATCCCACGGAGAGCACGGTATTCGCTTCTGGAGGTGCTGACAATCAAATCGCCCAATGGGACTTGTCCGTAGAAACAGATTCCTTGGATGTCGAACAAAACGACGAGTTAACCAAACTGCCGCCCCAGCTGTTATTCATACATCAGGGTCAATCAGATATCAAAGAGTTACATTGGCATCCACAATGCCCAGGAACTATGATATCAACTGCACACTCAGGTTTCAATGTATTTCGCACGATTAGTGTATAATGGATTTATGATGACTCATAAAATGACATATTACATTATATATTTTACAAAATATCTGTGCTATTTCTATCCTCTATTCAGTTTCTTACTCGAAGAAATACTCGTTTCTTCTCTGTAATTCTTATCTGAGAAATCATCGAGTGTCTCATAAATATAAACGATGTAAAAAATATATAATTTATTTGTCAAATTATTCTATCTATACATATATATATATATATATATATATATATATATATATATATATATATATATGATGGAGATACTAAAATATTGATCGATTTTAGTCTGTAACTTGTTACGCTTAAATTAATAATCGTTATTAAAATGTAGCAACCGAACTCTTATCGACTCTTGGTTGAAAGTTTAAATTTATATCGTTTGCGAGTAAATATTTTTAGATAAAGAGCATTTGTGAAAGAATATATCACAGTTCATTTACTTATTTATTAATAGCAATGATAAAAGATGTCGTATAGTAGGCCTGCCATGCGGACAATTCCATGGATTCTGCATTTGCGTCATTTGCGTTACCAGCCTTTGCATCTCACTGATGCTTAAAGCTGTGCCGATCATGACTGCGCTGCGACATGCTCTGGATGCCAACATCTGTCTGACACGACTCGGCCGAAATATGTGCTTCTCCTTGTTCTCACTGCCTCCTTCTCTGATAAGGAACACCAATTCTTCGATGTCGTCTTGGCCAAACTGCCAACCACCACTGACAGGCATTCCTATCAATTCTATCCTTTTGCTGGGTTCAGCTGAAAGAAAGTAGCACAGAAGAGAGAATTTATCGAATCTTTCTTGTTTCAATGTTCTATTAATTTCATATTGTAACACTTCAATTATTTCTAATCACAAAACAACATTGTATACCTTGCTCGTCGATTTTGAACGTAAACCCGTTGTCTTCGAACGTCTGCTGATGCTCTATGAGTATCGTTTCGTTCAGTGCGGAGAAGTTCAGTGACTTCGGCATGATAAGCTTTTGTGTTTTCAGTTTCGTCTCGTTGCTAAGCTTCTCAAAACGAAATTTCTCATCGGTGGCGTGTTGGTCTATAATGAAGAGATCATCTTCTAGGCGAGCTATTATGAAACCAAGATTAAACTGACCTATAATCTCCATCTATAAAAAATTTCGATGTCTCAGACTGCTCAAAATATAAATACGCTATATGTTGTGCATTAAACATTAATAATTATATCGTGAATCTTGAGCAACGGCATGAATATCACAGCGGAAATAGTTAATTTGATAAAAGCGTGTTAATTGACAAAAAAAAATATTCGGTAATTTTTAATAAAAATAAATTAATAATTTTTAGTATAACGTGCTACAGACTCACACTAACCTTGCCAAATGAATCTTTTGTCAGCTCTCTTTGCAGTTCTTTTTCAGCGTCGCCTTGATTATCTTCCATTTGTATTCTGTATTTTATTCTCTTTCCTATATTGGCAGGTGCCTTATCAGCTTCCTCTTTCGTTTTTAGCTTCTCTTTTATCATTGTTATACTTATCGTCATTTCTGCATTCATAGGTTTCTTCCTTAACTTTATATCTTTCCAAGTATCATTATCTCTTGCTACATGTGATACTGAAGGTGATGTTTGCAACCTTTTGGCTGGCGGATGCGTGCAGGTCGGCGAAATCGCTCTTTTTAAACCGAAATTCAACTCGGTCAGAGTTTTAGTTGTGAAATTTCCCTGCATTTTGTCCCATCTCGCTGTTAAACTAAATTTCAACGTTGCCAAAATGAGACGCTCTTGCGTGAAAAATATTGTTCTCTTGTCGGGAGTAACGTTAACGTCGGCGGACTGCCGGTCTAATTTGATATTCAGAAAGACGAACGGATATTGCTTATTATTGTATCTGTGGTACACATTATTCATTAGTTTACCGACTTTTGTGAGATCGCAGGGTCGGCCATTTACATAAAAAAATTGTCGATCAGGAGAGGAACGTCCAATCACGTGATCGCAGACGCTCACATAACATTCCCAGTCGAAGTCCACGGTTACATTTTCAGACAGATTATATTCCTGCAGTGTCATTTCGTCGGGAACTTGCAATTCGAGCTTCACGATGCTGTCCAGAGCTTTTTTGCCGAATACAGAGTTCACATTGTCTAAAACATTATTAGTGCTTCTTGTGGCTACTATAAGATTGGGCGATTTGCCTGATATTAAATTGAAACAAGTGATCTTGATATTGGTGGAAACCAAGCAATAACCATACAAAACTTGGATAGTACGAGCATACTCCTTTTTCAAGTTCTTTTGAAACTCCTTAGCTCGTACAGGCAAATTCTTAAATATATTCCTCACATGAACCGTGGTTCCTCTCTCTCTAGCACATGATTCTTTTTTTGTTAATATGCCATTTCGGTCGAATTCCAATTTAAAACCATGTTCATTTAATGAGTGCCTGGTGATGACACTTAATTCAGATAAAGCACACAGTGAACTCAGTGCTTCACCACGGAAACCAAATGTATTCATTTCTGTTAGATCTGTGAATTCTCGAAGCTTTGAAGTATGGTGCTTCAAGCCTGATTGAAAGAAAAGAAATCACTTTATTATTATTTCCAAAACTATTTTCAATTTAATATATCCTGAAATTTCAAATTAAATATTTGATAAATCACTTTTCTATATTTAAATTTAGTAAGGTATGATAATATTATTATTTTATTGAATGAAAATTGAATTAATTTATTACTTTATTAAATTTTAATTGAACTTACCCAAGCCTTCAAAGTCTTGCTCCAGAACACCACTACCATTGTCATTCACACTGATGCATGTTCTACCATAATCAGTCAATTTAACATCAATTGTTGTAGCACCACTGTCTAAACTGTTTTCCACTAATTCTTTGACAGCTATAGCTAGATCCAACACCACCTAACAAGGATAAGAGACAAAGCAGTTTATAACTCGAATTAAATAAAAAGAAAATAAACAAGCAACTCATGTAATAATAATATAATTAAAAAAATTAATTCTCGCTGATAGAGAATTAATAACTTGTAATATTTTCTGTTTACATACTTAACCTTACCTGACCGGAACAAATGTGATGGATTGTTTCTTTATTTATTGCTTCAATTTTTTTCGACTTTTCAGTCGTTGCAACAGGTTCGTCCATAGTTCCGTTCACAAATTTCACATAAAATTTAATTTATCATTAATAATACTAATAGTTTTTATACAATATTCTTATCATGTTTCCGACGAGCATACGGTGCACTGACATAATCTTTTATACTAATTTCAATTTTGTTCGAATTAAGTAATTCTATAAACATGTATTTAATAATAAAATAAATCTATAAATGAGTTTTTAATAATTATCAGTTTGAAAATTTTTCTTTATGCATTATATTTATATAAACATAGGTAAAAAATATATATAACCTAAAGAACTTAATACGCAACAAACACGTAAAGCCAGTGCCACACGATGCTTGTTTTCTTGTAGATGGAAATACTTTGTTCTGATTGGTGCATTTCTGAAGATTGATGAAAATACACCAATCAGAACAGAGCATTTCCATTCAGTACGAAAACAAGCATCGTGTACCGTTGGCTTTAATTTAAAGTCTTCGCTATAAGCCGCCACTTTCTTTAACAAGGAATTGAAATAGTGATGAATATAAATAACATCTGACCAATGCATTTTCTGCATTGTATTGGGATCATGATATAACTCAACAAATGATATATAAGTATATATGTGGCCACGGAGCATGTAATGTCGCTACATTTTGTCGCTATGACAAGTTTCATAACTTATTATACTCGTTAACTTTAACGATTAATATCTCGTTTTGCGGGGCAGAGCGATGATTTTAACTTTCATATGTGGTTTCTACGCATGAAAATATACAATGAGTTGAGTTTTAGCCAAATTGAAGGTGAGAATTCTAAACTATATAATTACCTTATTTTTTATTAATAAGACAGCATTACTTATATAATGGGAAAATAATATGACCAGATGTATTTTTTTAAATATTCAAAGAAATTCATTTATGAAACAAAATATAGAACTCTACAAATATATACAATAATGTATAACAGTAATAATATTCACTGTCTTACTGTATGTTTATTAACAGCATTAACAAGCAGTTTCTTACATCCATCAATATATACTACATTCCTATTGAAAACAAATTTTACAAGTCTGATCTGATACCAAATCCAGGGCCTGTTGGTGGAGTTGTTAATGATGTAAGACCACCATTAGGGTCAGCTGCAAATCTAGTAGAGGTTTGTGGACCTGCTGGAGGTCTCTCTCCTTTCTTAAAAGCATTTATTATAGCTGTTGCACTTTCTGGGGTTAAGTCCTCCTAGAAAATGGACAGACACATTATGTATGGTACTGTTACATAGCTGAAACTAAAAAAAAAAAGAATCATTTTTTCAACTCTAGTTATAGAAACTTTAAAACTTTTGGATATTTTAACATTTCTAAGAATTCTCTCAGTCTAATCATAAGTTCTATTTCTCAAGCACTAAGATATATAATTAAATAATATAATTAACATAATTAAAAGATAATTAACATTCGAGATATTTACAGGGATTTTTTAGAATTATAATAATTAAAAATTAATTTATTATATTATTAAAAAAAATAATATTACTCTTTTTTTGTGCCAAAGTAGATATTATATGCACATCATAGTAGTATTATTATATGTCATTATTCTTAATTAAAAGATAAATTTACATACATAATAATCATCATTCACTTGGAACATGGGAGCATTGGCACAAGCACCAAGACATTCTACTTCGGAGATTGTGAATAATTTGTCGGTGGAAGTAGCACCAAGTTCACAGTTGGCAGCCTTTGTCACAGCTTCGACTATCGAGTCGGAATCTCGCAACCAGCATGGAGTGCAGGTACAGATCTGCACATGATATTTTCCCATGGGTCTTCGATTGAACATTGTGTAGAATGTGGCTACTTCATACACTCTCATGTGTGGTAGATCCAATATCTCTGCGACTTTGTGCATAGCAGAAATGGGTAGCCATCCATGCTGTCGTTGTGCCAAGTCTAACAGTGGTATCATGGCACCACGTTTGTGACCTTCAGGATAGATTGCAAGGAGTGCCTCAATGCGCTTCTTATTAGCCTCATTGAACTCAAATGGTATATTTGGGTTATCATGTTCGCTATCTCTATGCTGAAATTGAAATACTATGTAAATGTTTTGAGATATCTATTACTCACTCACTCACACGCACACACACACACACACAAAAAAAGATTATAACACCATTACATACAATAAACAGCTGGTCTGATGCACAGTTTGCTGTTGTTTGTACCGCTCTAATATTTTTCTGAGCCTGTAAAAAGTAAGATTAATTTTATATGCAAGCCAAATAACAGATCAAGTAATAACTGTCAAAGCTGTGATGAAATTTACAAAGAGAAAATTCTATCACTCTTTGAGTGTGCCAGTATTTTCGCCTTACAAAAATATTAAATGTAACTGATAAAACTCTGACGTTCAAGGTAGAGTTATTTGATCTTATAAACTAAATTGACACAATTAAAAGCTTGTATAATATGTAAGATATTATATAAGATATTTGAGGTTAGGACAGAAAAAATCTGAGTAAATACAAAAAATAAATTCTCAGTTTTATGACTCACAAGAAGCCCGCAAGCTCGACGCAGAGACGTCAACATATCGACACAGCTGAAACACAGATGAGATAAGACTTATCCTCCACAATAGTACAAAATGTCAATCACTCGTCACTTCTGTTACGATCAAGACGAGAGCGTCCCGATTGACCACGGTACGATTGGACACCAACCGATGCAAAGAATTATCTAGTGAATTACCAGGTCGAACCAATCATTACAATCTGTGTCCAATCGTATTTAAACTGCGTTCCGAAATTCACTGCCAGTACTGAAAATCTATAGTTCATATCACGTATATTATAGAATTTCAGCACTGGCAGTGAATTTCGGAACGCAGCCTTCGAGAACCTCTAGTAAAGAGAATCGCCAACTTGGTCATATGACCAGCTACTCAGCTACTCTGCGATTGGCTGGGATAACATGTACGGATTTGGACATTACGACACCGATACAAAACCATATAAATATAAGCATTTGTTCTGCATTGGCGTCACAAATCCGTATATATTTATGCCAGCCAATCAGCTGGTTACGTGACCAAGTTGGCGATTCTCTTTACTTGAAGTTCTCTAATCGTATTGTGATCAATCGGGTCCCACCCATCAAGACCATTGGTCTATTTTTTCAACTGCACTGCCATGCACTGCTGAACTGCAATAAAGCCAACAGTACTTGTTTTCGTACTTGATTGCTTGCTGGATGAAAATACTCTGTTCTGATTGGTGCATTTTTAAAGATGGATGGAAATGTATCAATCAGAACGGAGTATTTCCATTCAGCACGAAAATAAGCATCCAATAAAAAAATACCAAAGTTTGTAAAATATATGACAGCAAGTCTATGGTGATACATAATATATTTTGATAAAATCTCAATAAATTATATATAAAAAATTTTATTTTGACATTGTTACATACGATTTTGATATCATTGTGATTTTTATTACATGTAAAACGTTTATTTTCTTAAACTTATGTTAAGCCAGCGGCACACGATTGCTTGTTGGATGGAAATACTCTGTTCTGATTAGTACATTTCTGAAGACGGATCAATCAGAATAGAGTATTTCCATCCAGCAAGCAATCCAGCATGAAACAAGCATCGTGTGCCGCTGGCTTAACACTTTTACATTAATATAATTCATGTATTTAAAAGTCTGTGGGAATAGCATAAACATGGCGGACCAATCAGAACATGACCCACGTGGCCAGACTCTGATTTAAGTGTCTCTAGAACAGACCATTTGATTGCCTACCGCGTCTTGTGTGCAAGAATCACATGTCGAGAGTTTCCTAACTCGATATTATTAGATTTTGTTTGATTCAATTGAATATCGCGCGCGCTACAAGTAGCCCTCTACCATCTTTACTGAGTAAAAAAAGAAAAAACTTGACTGACCTAACCCAATCTAATCTAACTTAACCAAAAACTACAGACGCAGAATAAATTTGAATCAAGCTCTTGAAATGATACATTATTTTACGTGTTGAGTTCACTTTATTAAACATACTATTAAAATATTACGTTAACAAAAATAAATCATATCGTAATATTGTTATGAAAGAGACAGTGCATGATTTGAATAACACTATGAATGAGGAGCATATCCATGGGAATGGAGAGGTAATTGTATAAATAATACATTTGCTCATTTTATTTTCATTTCTTATAATACTTTCTACTATATCTAAACACTTCTTTTTATCAATTTTAAATTCGTTTCAGTCTTTGTTATATAGGTTATAATTGTTTCATAAATTTAATCTCTTAAAAAAAATAATCATATATGTATTCTTGACATATTCAACTTATAATAGATCAAGTTTTACAAATATATCATTCCAATTGCAAGTATTTCATTTTATTCTCATTTTGATAAGATAAAAATATTGCATCTCATAGAAAATAAAATTTTCCTATAAATTACTAAATATGATATTATATTGATATAATAGTTCTTAGAAATATTCCATTCATATGCTTTTGAAAAAAAATCTTCATACTTTTGTTTGTGTAATTGTAACAGGCAACTATTCCTGAAGAATCTCCTGCAAAACAAAAATTGAGAGGATGGCTAAATCGACATCTGCGAATTGAAATGACTGATGGAAGAATTTTAAGAGGAGCATTTCTTTGTACCGATCGTGACGCCAATGTTATTCTTGGTTCAAGTACTGAGTTTCTGTCCACCGAACATACAGAAGCCAGAGTATTAGGTTTGGTAATGGTACCTGGTCGACATATTGTTTCAATACATCTGGATGCTTGAAATGCAGCATCATTCTTATTCTTCTGTAAATAATCCATTGTGTGTATTTATTACATTAAGTCATTATGAATGTAACATATTTTTCCTAAAAAAATTGAGTTTTTGTATTTCAGATAAATTTGTAAACATCAAAAGATATAAATGTTATCAGATATTAATTTATTTGTTACTGCACATTTATATTTTACCCAGCTTTAATTTTATTAAAATCAACTTATAAAAGTCACAGATAAAATTATAAGAAAATTAAAAGTTATAATTACATATACTTGATAGGAAATTTTATTCTAATTTTACTATAAAAATTAAGTTTTATTATGAACAGTTCTAAAATCCACTATGTTCAATAACATTAAGAAGTATAAATTTAACAAATTTATACTTGCCAGATTAATAAATAGTATAAATTTTTACTTGTCAGATGTATCTTTAGCTGGAAAAAACAATGAAACAATAAGATTGCTGAAACTATACATATGTATTAATAAATGTAAGAAATATTTGTTTTAAAAATACAAAACTAAAATGAGTTCAAAATTGAAAATTATTTGTTCAAAAAATATACTATATACTAATCAATTGCTTTCTTACTGTTTTTAATACACTGCTGTTGTATATGCCGATATGCTTGTTCCAGCTCAAGATTGCTCTCAACTTCTATTTTCACATTACTTAATGCATCATCTATCCTTTGACAAAGTGAGTTGGATAGACTGTCCATCCCAGATAGAAAACTAAGCTCTGAAGCAGCCACTGCCATTTTGTGCACATAATCCATATAGCCAGTTAATTTCTAATGAAAAAACATCAAATAGAATAATTTTCAACCTAAGTCTTTATATACATTGATATTATATAATGTATTTATCACTAGAAAAAAATGTATGTATTATGTATTCTGAAGGTAAAGAGAAATTAATTTTAATTTTATGCCAAAAATAGTTGTAAAATTATGTTGTATATAGCGCAATGTAATTATTCTTTTTAAACAATTCTGTATTACCATAAGAGTCTGTTTTTTCTCCTCCATTTCTGTCCTTATTTCTACAATAAGATCCCAGTGTGCATCACTAACATTACAATTCAGAGTATCCATTAAGAGGGAGATAAGTGTGTTTAGTAAAGTCCTACATAAAATTATCAAAATTTGATATTACAGTACATTCTTTTCAGGTGTAACATTTACCTGTATTCAGTACTCAGATTTTTTATTGCCATATAGGTAACAGTCAATGCTTGTGTTGCGCTATTAGCTGCATCTAACGCAGATCTTTGTATCATAGATTCATATGTCAATTTCTTTATGTCTGGTAGATCTAATTTTAACTTATCTTTTTCACTAGGTTTTTCAGATGGAGTGTAATGCGCAAATAATAAACTCGATGAATACTGTGCATTAAAATAAACGAATCATCAATCTTTATCATGTATGTGAAAATTGAAATATGAAATAATAATAAGTTGTTCTTACCATCGCCGGAGTAATATTTTTCAATAATTTTCTGAGAGCCTGACGCATTGCCATATTTGTCGATAATTATAAATATAATATATTAAAATTATGTTTTAAATTGTATACACAATATTGAGTGCATCTAAAGTAGTATTCCTGTACACTCTGTATCGGTTAGGCGATAGTTTCCCGAAAAGTGGAGGGGATAATGTTGGTATCAAGGAAAATCTCTACACGATATAATTTAAAGATTTATTCTTTGTAACTGCACTACTGAACTGGTGCAATAAATTAAAGTGAGACAAGTATACGTTTTCTCACTCTAACCTTTTGCATTAGTTCAGCAGTGTGCAGTTACAAAGAACAGATCTTTAAATTATATCGTGTAGAAATTTTCCTTAGTACTAACATTATCTCCTCCATTTTTCGCGCGACAAGCATTACCGCGTCCTATGTGCAAGAACCATAACCCTTTATATCTAAATGCTCAACGTTTATATATTTATAGGTCCGTTCTTTTTAATTAAACTACTTGGGGGTCGATTATGTACCTGAAAATGAAGTGAAAATGACAAAAGTGAGCAAATTTACTAGAATATTTGTAACTTCATTGGTCAATGTCTAGTGAATTTGCTCACTTTTGTAATAGCATATTCGACTGGTTCTGGATTAACCCACTCTGGGTTATTCAACCTACGTTTATTGGTCGAACAAGTACTTATAAGCTTCATGATTGGCTAGTAGAGACTAATGACGTCAATAATCGCTCTCGGAGCGATTAACCTAGGGCCAGTCGAACACGCTATAATTTTTACTCCGTTTCGAGGTACACAATTGACTTCCTGAACTAGGCTCGTATAAAGGTCGTTCTATATTAGTTGCAAGTCGATTGCAACTCTTGTTGCGACAGCCAATTAGAAGCCAAGAGCACCATTGATGTTTCTGATTGGCTGTCGCAATAAGAATTGCGTCTGCTTGCGATCAGCTTGCAACTAACCTAACCCAACCTTAAGATGCCTTTACATGGGAGCATCGAGCGTTAAAGCGGTAGCCAATCAACGTGCCACCCGCAAGAACTACAAGTATACTTCTGGAACCTGATACGTTGTTTGGCTAACGCTTTAACGCTCGACGCTGGAACGCTCCCATGTATTGGCTCCCATTTAATGGAACTCGTCGAAAGTTTAGTTATTCCCTACATTTCTATTGACTGCATTTAGCATTCAACAGTTGCACAATATGCGAAACTATGTGAAACAAGCACTGTACCACTAGCTTTAAAATGAGGATCAATTGTTACAATTTCTTGGTACTAATATGGATTGTAATTTAATAATTTACTATGTAAAATGTGCAAAAAAATAAAAATCTCACTTTAATTATATATATTTTTAGTCATAAAAAATTATATTTCTGGAACTTGTTAAATATTTGATCAAAATTTGATATATCAATGACTTTGTATAATTATCTTTAATAATTTATACATACTTCTAAGAAAAATAAACGAACTATAACAATATATCTCCTATTTCTTTACATCAATAATATCTTATATATTTTTTTATTCTTTCAAATTAATAGATATCGGTAATAGTAATGTTCGAAATTACAGTTTTATCTTTATCATTATTTGAATGATAATTCGTTGAACCCAAACGCCTAGTTGGCAGTAGAATGACAATCTTTTTGCTATATATTCTTCATTGCCAGAGAATTTTGCTAAGTACTAGCTGCATGAAAGAGCAATTTTATCATATTATTTTTTATTTTCGTATTTAATGTATTTTGTGCGAATGTAATTACTTTATTTATAAAAGATAATGAAAATATCTGTAAGATATATGTGTAAGAATATTTAGTCATTCATTATGCAGAGTCATCAAAAACGATAAAAAAAACGCGTTATTTAATTAATAATTTATAAGTAATAAAAATAATGCGTTTCTTTGTAAGAGATGATGCTGACTGATCAAGTAATATCGATGTATATTTATATGTAAGAAGTAAGAGAAATTCTTTCAGGATATATTTAGAAATACAGTAAAAATGTATCCGTACGAAAAAATACATTCTATAAACGATATTTATGCGAAAATCATTTTTAACTTATTCATTTTTTTAAGTAATATGCTTTATACTACATCACCAAATATGACGATTACACGTAATCAAATGATAGATTTGCAGCATTTGAAACAGGTTTGACATGCAAAGTAAAAAATTTGATATATTACAATTTTAAAGATTTGACATATGAACTTTTCCTAAGAACTGGCCTATTCACACGTGTATGCCTATATTAGATAAATTGAATATCAGAACCTGCTATTGTGCTTGGCACTTGTGTAATGTAATTATCGCAAGTAGAGCGGTTCCCTCGATAAGATTATCACCGATTATAACGACCATGCGTTAATAACACTTTCATGATAAATAAATCAACGAACAAAATTATTCGCGCATATTTCATAACACTAATATAATATTATCAATTATAGAAGAAAAATTGCATTTAATTTCGCGATATAATTTATCGATTCGTAGAGCAAACGTGTAAAGATTTGATTTGCGTCTTAAATGCATCCGACAAAGATAAATCTACAGAAATTGCCCTAAATCGACGCTGCCCGTCGATCAATAACAGAGAATCACACACTTTTAAATAAATTATTTCTTTACAGTTCTTGATGCGTGTCCTCCTCAACTTCGCTTTCACTTGGCGGTTCCTTCCTTTCTGGTATAACTAACGACTCCTGCATCTCATCTATTATTGGTACTTCTTGTTGCTGCTCTTGTTCATTATTTGATATAATTTGTTCTTCTGCAGATTTGTCTTTCTCAGCATCAGCTTCTGTCGTTAAATCAAGTGGTAATTCTTCTTGATTTTCTGTCGCCTCCTCAGTTTTACTGTCCGTCTGGTTTATTGCAGCTTCTTGCTTCGGCTTCCAGATTTTTATTTTGTTTATAAGATACTTAATTTCTCTATCAAGCAGTTCCATTTTATTCGAGATATGTCGGACTTTGTATTTCACTGGTTCGTTCAAAGGTGTTTCAGCGAAATATTTCGTAACCATGTCATAATAATCCTGAAAAATATCACAGATATATATATACAATATATTATATAGTATAAATATTATACGCATACATAATATGTAAAACATGTTAACTGTTAACAACAGATTTTTAAGTTAGTATGTATGCATAAAAACGCATTTTTTTAAATCTTAATAAAGCGTATTTTTATTAATTTAAATTTCTTCTAAAAATTAATAAAAAAAGATTACTTAATTACCAGAAATACTGCTGGAACTATATTTATCATTTCTTTAATTCGTTACATACCTGCGTCTCGTTGATTGCTTTTTCTAACGTCTCCACTTCAACGGGCGTGATGACATCGGCCGTTACACTCAAGTTTCGCATACTATTCAAGAACAATTTACTGCTGTCGAGCAGTAAAAATACTGCCTTCAGAACTTCTGGACGATCCCGGTGCTCGGAAACTCTCTCGTAGACGTCGCCGGTTAACTTCTGCAGTTCCAACAATTTCTCCTCGTACACTTCCGCGGTCGCGGCGAATCCATCTTCGTATAACCATTCGGAGACCTCAGCACACGCTTTACGTATTTCTTCGATCTCTTTCTCGGTGGCCGCGACTGAATATTCTTCGGAATCGAGCTTTTGCTGCGCATCGATTACATATGACTCGAGATTGTTCAGTGCAGTCTCTCGACGTGCTTTCTTCAAATCATGCATGTCCAAATTATGTATCCTGGAGAGAAAAAGAAATTACATTATCAAAATCGCGTAAATATCTTTGTGATTGCATCAACTAGATTATTTATCATCTAGAACAACACATACAATATTTTGAAAAGCTAGACAGAAATTTCATATTAACGTAGTAAATTTACATCACACATAGTTTAACTCACTTGTCTTGAGACTGTACAAGTCTATCACCGGACAGAATTTGTGATCCCAATTTGATCTCATTCGAGCTGATAGATTCCTTAATTTGAACGACAGTGGCTTTCTTCTCTTTGTCTGCCTTCTCAGTCTTATTTCCGGCTTTATCTTCGCTCGATTTCGTTTCGTTCTTCTTCTTTGTTTTCTCCTCCGCATCCTTTGACGGCTCCAGATACTCAGGTTCTTCATGCACCGGTTTTATATCTTCTTTTGGTGGTTCTTCCGTCTTTTCTATCGTCTCTTTCTCATTGGAACCTAAAAAATACAATTACGCTATAACTTAATGTACTTCTTTTTGTACGCGTCTGGACGATTTATAATTAGGGTCTTGCATTTTGATGTCGCTGAACATTGAACGCATGAATTTAAGCTTTTTTTAATTACTTATTTATGTAACAGATTTTAGTGAAAAATATATATCAAGAATATATCACATTCTGCTGCTGAGATACTTTTTTATATTCGGCTATTAAACTTTAATTTTATTGCTACGAGATTTGTTATATAAGCGATCATCAAAAATTAAGTCCTGCTTAAAAATTGTGCTATCTAATTATGTTACACACATCTGTATTGCATATCTTTATAAAAATGCTTGCAAAAAATGATTTCGAGATAGAACGTGCATTAATCCGACAATTATAGTAACAATATTTTAATTCACCCTCTGCTTTTTCCACTCTTTAATTCCCTTGAAATCTTAAGAAACGACATTTCTTCTATACGCATAGATACGACGTAAAGGAAGAACGGAATAGCGTAAATATCGCCGGGAAATAGAAATCCATACATGCAACAGAAATTAATCATCGGCATCATTTTTTGCACAACCATCGGAGAACAAACCTGCAAAGAATTTAGTAATAGTTGAGCCAAGTATTGAGAAAGTACCCTCTTCTTCGTCAACGGTAACGCTTGACTTTTCAGAAACTAGTTCTACATTTAACAAATTCAGTATTCCACTGTCATCCATATTGAAATGTGCCTTGACTCCTTTACTTTCGGCACCTTCCTTAGCGTGTTTCTCTAAAGCCTCAGCTACGCCATTCAGAGATATGATAGATATATTTAAATTACCGATAGCACTGTAAAAATATATACATTATAACTTTAAATGTGTTAAATTTCGGGAAACTTTGAGTGATCTTTATTGATTCGTTTCCAATTTGTTATACAAGTGAAAACTATAGATACTTACAGTACCTCACTGGATGGCAAATAATCCAATTCGGCGTAATTCACTTGAAAGTCAAAATCTTCCGTATGCTTGTTGAAAGTAATAATCTTCTTCTGTGGGAAAGGATTCATTCTGCTGAACAACGTCTTTCTCACCTGTGTATAAAAGGATAAATTTGATTAAAAGAAGAAAAGTAATATGTATTTTTTTTATTGAGGAATAAGAAACTAAGAAACGGTTTTCGAAAATTCGTAAGATCAGTACCTGCTTTATTTTGTTATCGATCATTCTATCAAATACGATTTGAATCGGAAACACCACAGCGTCCTTCGTGACGAACTTTTTAACTTTGAAACCCTGACTGAGATCAGCCGCTTTATATGCAGCTCCTAGAGCTGCAGCCTCGTCTGTATTCACGTTCTTTGACAATTCCGTCTTCACATACTGAGACAGTTTTTCCTGTACCTTTGGCATTCGGGTACCTGCTCCCACCAGTACAACATGAGATATAACATCCATTGCTAAACCTGAAACAGTTTAAAAATAAGTTTTAAAATAAAAAGAGGAACAATCAACATAATTATCCAAAGTAATTATTATTTAATTATATAAATTGGCACAATTATCTTAAAAAAAATCACTAAATCACAATAAATCAATTATCACAACTAAAAAAATATCGATTTATTGATTGTCAAATTTTTGAAAAGGATTGTTACGATCGTGTCTGTTTGGTAGATTGACGAATAGGTCTTTGACGAATTTCAATCCGGATCCCGAACAGCACACATATTATGAAACTCTTTGAAAACAATTTGATTTGAATACCATAATACGTGCCCTATTCGGGTACTTTGAAAAATCCGAATCTTCGGATAACCCGAATTTGAAGCGTCACATGAATTTACTATCCGAATAATCGGGTATTCGGATAATGTCAGATCCGAAAAAAAACATTCAAGTCCTAATATTTATTTAAAATCAATTTAAATAAATTTAATATTTATTTTAAATCAGATATTTACCTGACGTTTCCAAGGCAGTTCTCACGGGATTCGCTACGCGCTCAAACAGATCGGCACATATCTCTTCCAGCTTTTCTCTCGTCACTTGCAATCTGAAGTCTATATCATCTATCAGACTTTCGATCTGTGCGAAGTGGTCCGCGTTAGCGCTAAGCACGGTTTTCACGCGGCCAGCCTCCTTGAAAAGCTTCGCCATCGATCTCGGGCTCTTGAACACTGAGTTTGGCGTTTTCTTCAGAGCATCGAATTCTCGAGCTAAATAATTCTGCAGTCTGATCTGCATCTCCAGCCCGCCGAGCGTGCGATCGTAACCGACACCCAGCACGGTAACGTGAGGATTGGTCTCAACGAAACCTCTTTCTTTCGTTTTCACGTTCTGATAACTAACGACCGTCGCGGTGGTGCTGCTGGCACCCATATCGTAAAACAAAATGTAATGTGCAGAGTCGTTTATTTCGGTTCTACCGAACACGCCGTAGTTGAGGGCGACAGCTGTGTAATCGTTTATGAGCTGCAATACCTTCAAGCCAGCGAGCTCCGCTGCTTGCACCAGAGACCTCCTCTCGGCTTGATTGAAGAATCCCGGGACTGTAATGACAGCCTCATTGATCTTTTGATGGGCTGAGACCTCCGCGAATTCCTTGCCCTTATGTAGTATTTGCGCGAGCAGCTCTTCTGGGGTATATGTTGTGTTTTCGTTCAACTTAAATGCTATAGTGTCTCTCTCATCATCAGCAATAATATTGTAGTAAGGAAATCTTTTTAGATAGAGTTGTACTAGAGGATTGTTTATAGGCTTCCCTAAGAGATCTAGGATGTAGGAGTAGGTGTTCTGTGGAAATCTCACACCGACCACTTGGGCATCCTCCCCAAAAGATCTCTCACCATCTCTGAATGCAATCGACACTGGTGTTTTTCTTTTGGATTCCTTATTTAAAGCTATCTCCATGGGGACACCAGGCTATAAAGTATAATAGAACAAATAGTTAACAATTAATTTTCCAGCAAAACTATGGAAAATACATTAAATTTTGCAATAAGCAAAATGTTAGCATTATGCCAGTAGATTGACAGTAGATCCAATTAGAATACTATGGTACATCCATGGTATAGCCATCTGTGTCCACATTAAATTCATGTTCTATCAACAGAGTCTACTGATATGGCTTTACAGCAGATTGATGGCCAAGACCAAGCAGCATCTGGAGCATATTCCATTTAAATTTCCATTTCCACTTAAATACTACACTAAATATTTAAGCAGTTAAGGAACAACAGATCCTACTTGATTTTAGCAGTCAACCTGCCATCATACTTCAGTATTAAATTATCCACAAAATTTAGACAAGAAACTATATTAAATCTGCTTCTGGATTGTTTAAATCTGCTGTGGATTTGGCTATCTGGATTTAATCAACAAGATTCTCTATTCTGAGCTGTCAGTTACTTTGAGAAATTCACACATGAATCAGAATTGTAGATCTCTCACTTACGGAAACGATAGCAACTTTCATCCATTCGCTGCCGATGTCGATACTCATGACAGCAATTTCCTCGCTAATGCCGATGAAAGAGGCGATGAGAAATAAGGCTAATGACGCCATCGAAATGCTTTTCCGCGAAAACCCCATCTGAAAGCCCAGGTTTAAGATATATTATGGAGGATAAAAGTATTGTGCTAGTTGGAAAATCTAGTCCACGTGAATATCGGGCACGAAATAATGACTATTCGTCCACTGCGTGACAGTCGTGCTTGGTTATGAATACCGGCGGCATGAAACACGTCTGACATGAAATAACATGGGCGAATGATGCGTGCTCACCTTATGTTCAAGCTTTGGACAACAAATACGTTACTTCAATCGCGATTCTTGACTGTGCACTATTCAGTGTGCATCTCAACAACGTTCAAATTAACAAAAAAAGCGAAACGTTGCAACTACACCTCCGGTCTTTCACCGCGAGACTACGTGCTGTGTACCATGTGTTGGTGTGGCATGTCGCGATTGGCGAAACAACGACCCACCGATCACCCACGTTGGCACACCAAGGACCAATCGTGACAATTCTCACGAAAAGAAATAGACCAATCGTGGTTTCCCTCTCTTCTTTTAAAATTTATAACAATTTATTTTAATGACAGTTTATTTATTTAGTTTGGATAATATACTTACTACTAAATAGTCATTTGACAATTTTTCTCATAAAAATATCAAGTACAAAATACGAGTTGGTGCAGATTTGCTGTATTAACAGTAGAATAATGTAAATATAAAAACGTGTAGAAAATAGCGCAAATTCAGGAGTTTTTACGCAGAAATGTGACGCAGAAATGTGACGCAGAAATTATTAAACATAAGTAGCATGTAATTCACTATCACACGAAAGTCATTAATCTAACCTCTTACTTCTAGATTATTATAAATTTTGCATATTTTCGTAACGCATAATCGTGCGACATCATATCTGATGTCACGATACTCCCCCCAGTGAATATAAATAAATTAAACACACTTAAGAACGCGTTCATAACGAGAATAACTTGATGTTGCTGTAATCGAAGTAGATTTAATATTCGAGAGGATATAGGATATATTAATTAAACCACGAATTTCCTCAGTCAGGTTTCGCGCGCTTAATTTTTGACCATGTAGTAATAAAAATATTTCCAATCGATGGTATACATCTGTTAACCCCATTGATCTTCGGATCGGCCGAATTTATATGTCAGAGAGCCCAAGAAGATAAACACATTCTGCAAGAACAATCCTACACCTGGCCAATGATGCGTTGCACCTGTATATAAAAGTATTAAATTAATAATCATACTTTTATACAGCCACATACAATAGTCTTATTTTGAACTTCCTTTCATTGATAAAGGAAAGTTCAAGGATAAGGGCAAATATGTGTAATTATGAGTACCTGCAGCCACAAAATTAGCAAACAAAATCCAACAGGCTGCTATTACAGCTGCAAATCCCATCACAAATCCAACAAACAGCCAACTTCTGGCACCTCTTGCTCCCAAACAACCACCGTTATAAGCTTCTCCTCTTATCTGTGCATTTGTTACTGAATTAACCCTGCAAAATTAATTTTTACTTTAATTAACATCATGTAATTAAAACAAGATTTTGAATAAAATATTGTAGTAAAAGTGTTATTGATATTGCTTACATGAAAAGTGATATAGTACCAAATACTCCGCATACATGATATGCATTTGCCATTTCATTAGGATATTTTGCATGGGCATCTATTATAAACCACCAGCCTATGAAAAACTAAAATGATGTTTCAGTGAGACAATAGCAAGAACTATAGAAACAGATTACATTTAGAAAAAGTACAGTCTGCATATTACTTATTTATAATATAAAATAAATTTTTGTTTTTAACAGAGTTAACTCGATAAAAAATAAAAAAGATAAGAAATCATTGTATACTAATGGTATAATATGATTTACTTATATACGCTTATTTATTTAGTACGACTGTGTTCATGTAAACTAAGAGATTTACCAATGTGCCAGCTAACATAGACACCAGTGCATTTCTTTTCTCGCCGCCCTCGAACCAAACACAAGTGGACACCTGCAAGCTCTCAAGGCAAGACGTCATTTTTTTGTTGACTTTTGTTCAAACGTATTAAATTTCGTGATTAGACAGCTAACCTAAAGGATGACAGATATCGTCACAACACTAGACGTAAATAGTAGAGCGTAAAGTGACAAACATGATTTTATTTCAGACAGTAGCGCCAAGCATTTAAAGCGGTAAAGGTTACAATCAGCATATAAAGGGTGCGGTCCAATAACCACTACAAATGCTGTGCAGCGTTTCTACCTCTTGTTCTATTCCTCGGATTCGAATGAAGAAAGAGAAAGAAGTAAAAACGCTACAAAGCATTTGCAGCGCCCGCTGGACCCATAGTCTGTTCTTTTTACTTAAACTGTCTGAACTGGTACACACTGGTGTGTTCCAAAATTTATCGCCATCACTGGAAAGCTGTAGACTCAAATTCTGAATCCTCTTTATCGATAAAAGTGCCTAAAATGTAGCTTCTCAGCCAATCAGATGGCTCCGAAGCCTCTTTTAGAGGCTCATTTATCGTTAAAAGAGAATTCAGAATACGAGCCATAATGCGCAACACATAAGAAAATTGACTAATCAGAGTTCTCATTTTTATTGCCACGATAAAGATAAAGGACTCTGATTGGTCAATTTTCTTATACGTGCATAAATTTCGAGCCACAATAGGTGTAGTAAGCTTTACGCCTTAAGAAATTGACCAATCATAGTTGATTATTCTCTTCAAATTTGACTGTGATTGGTCAATTTCTTAATGCGTCGTCGTCGAGTAGGGGAGCGTCCCGATTGACCACAGTACGATTGGACACAACCAACCGATGAAAAGAATTATCTAGTGAATTACTAGATCGAACCAATCATTACAATCTGTGTCCAATCGTATCGTGGTTAATCGGGTTCCACCCGTCGAGTAGTAGTAAGAATAAGCAGTAAGCAAATTGACCAATTCCATTCTCACGATTCAAGAATAATCTATTGTAATTGGTCCATTTACTTACTGCTTATTTATTACTACCATTCCTACTGCCACTGTAGACGACGCATAAAGGGATCCACGAAATCACGTGGATTCCACGTGGGTGTAACGTGCATGTTTTTGTGGGGTAGTAAGAAGTAGGAAGTAAAAGTAAGAAATTGACCAATCACAGTCGAATGTGAGAAGAATAATCAACTATGATTGGTCAATTTCTTATTCTTACTTCCTACTTCTTATGGCTCCTGCACACAGGACGTGGTAATGCTTGCCGCGCGGCGGAAGTTCGCGCGACAACCAATCAATATGCTGCTTTCCGTAATAACCTTCTAGCTCTTACGGAAAAACAACATATTGATCGGACCTGTTGTACGGACTTCCACCGCGCGGCAAGCATTACCGCGTCCTGTGTGCAGAAGCCATTACTGCTTACTTCCAATGTAGACGTCCCTTTAAGCCTGTATCAGACTACCGACTGCACAGGCCGACCCGATTGCCGACTACGGGCCTGAGCACAAAGATTGTCGCAATTTTTTACAACAGTGTCGTAGACGTAAATCGGTATCGGAAGTCAACATACAAGGGTTGGCGTAGACGTATCAAATATGATTAGAGGATACAATTAATGCAGCATACATCTATATCAATCCTTGTACGTTGACTTCCGACTCCGATTACGTCTACGACACTGTCGGAAACGACTGCGACAATCTTTGTGCTCAAGCCCTACGACTGCCAACTCTCAATGGATCAATCATAGTGAAGCGCCGACTGATTGGATCGGTCGACTCGCATTTAGACTTCAGTCTATTTTTCGAGTCGGCGACTCGAGTCGTAGCCAATCATATGGTAGTTCGTGTGATAACGCAACTATTTTCTTCTTTCTTCTAATATTTTGAGATTTCTTGAAAGGAAGTTTCATATTTCTTGACATATATGCTATTATTTTACTATCACACAGAACTTAACCTAATGACAATGAGTGCGTTCAGCGAACAGTTGCACAACAGTCGAGCAATTCGTCAATGTAATTGGTCTAGATTTAGGGATCTAATAGTAAGAACTAATCGCTGATTGCTTACTGAGCGCTTTTTCCGTTGAACGCGCCTATTTATTGCACTTTTTGTTCTCTAGCAGATGTCACTAGTACGATCAGTCGGCGGCAGAGGTCGATAAGTGTGACTGACCGACAGGGCTGCTATTTCGTGGTTCCGATAGTTGTCGGATCAGTGGGTTCGTTGCGCAGTTTTTCCACGGTATAAAAAAGCTGCGCAACGACGCCTACTGATTCGACAACTGTCGGTATGCGGGAACGGAATAGTACTCCTGTAGCCCTATTCTGTAACTCGTTATTGGAGTTCACGACAGTTTTGTTATCGTTACGCAGCTTTTGTATACCGTAGAAAAGCTGCGCAACGATAACGAAACTGTCGTTAACTCCAATAATGAGTTACAGAATCCCA